GTCACAAAAGTAAAATCTTAATTAATCTTAGAAGTAATTATTTTAGTTGATTTAATATTTTAATTATTATTAAATATTAATTATTAGGTATTGAGATTAATTTGTATATTATTATTTTATCTATATTTATTATATATAAAAGTAACCTATTAATATTAATTAATATTTAAAAGAAGTATAAGAAAAAATCTCATATCTTTTTAGTTATTTATGTTATAAAAAAAGATTTTTCACTGATTTAAATAGATTTTATTAAAATAAAATTTATTAAGATATAAAGAATAGCTTCAAAGTAATATTGGTATTATATAAATATTTAAAAAAATTAAATTTTATTTAGAATTTTTTTAGAATTATTTAGGAAGTTTTAGAGAAAATTTTAAGACTTTGATAAATTAAGTTTTTACCACCTTAGAAGCTATTATGAAAAAAATCGAGCAAGATTTGAGGACCATAAAAAATTTCTAGACTAATTGGATTTTTTTTAACACCATGATGAAGTTGAAAATGAAAAAATATTAATTTTACTAGAAAAAAATAGAATGACCAACAAATAATCTAGTCTTCCTCGAAAGGGAGGTGCATAAATTCCACAAGGATTGTAGCACCTTAAATATAGTTAGGAGAATAAGACTAAGACCTTGTGGCCTCTTTAGAACACTCATATACACTACATGTGAATCTTAGTGAGCCTTAAATTCTTAATCTATAAAAAAAATATTCTTAAAGTAAATTATTTTTATTTAATTTTTTAATTATTTATTGGCCATTTTTAAACCTTAATAAATTATTTATAGTAATTTCAATTTACATATTTCTTATGTCATTAAAAAGATAATAATAAAAAAAAAAAAAAAAAAAAATAGAAATATTTTTATTTTTTAATAGATAAAAATTCAGTAAACAGACTAAGACCAAGTTTTGGAATGTGTAATTGCTTGATTGGATTCAATTCACTTATTTTGTACTCTTTCTTCTTCTTTTTTTGTTATTTGCATCCTCTACTTCATACTACTAATTACAAGCAATTCTTAATTGATGCCATTTTTTAATTTGGATTAAAAGGTAAAATTTACCATCACATTTTAGTCTTACATTTGGCATAACTAAAAAAATCTTACCAAAGTGAGAATTCAAAATATTTTTAAATTTGAATGCAAGATTGATATTCTATACTCTCAAAAATGCTTATGTATTCCAAAAAGTGAAGCAAAATTATGTATTCTTCAAGCTTATTACAAATTTTGAATTACAAGATATTTTTAATACAACAAGATTTTAGAAATAAAATAATAAAACTAAAGATCCTAAAAATAATAAGAATGGACATCTAAAATAAATCTTAAGTTAATTCTAATGTAGTTTTATATAAATCCTTAAAATATATTAATAGAATTCTAAAATATTAATGAAATTCTAAATAAATCCTGATTAAATTCCAAATAAATCTTAATTAAATTCATGTAGTTATTTTGAAATTCTTATAATTATTAATCAAATTCTTAATTCTTATTAACTAGTGAAAACAAGTGTGCTCTAAGTTTTTGGGCTGTTGAACACAGAATTCAACAACATTTGAATGGATGGTCAAAAGCCCTCCGGCATTTCACACTTTTTCAGAACTTCCAGTTATCAAGGAATACATTTAGACATCTTAGCAAATGGTGCCACTTAAACACTTATCCACTCTACCTTCTAAGGACCTAGTCCATTTGGGGGGGGAGAGGGGGGACAAAGCCCCACCTTGCCTCAAAAAGTATGGCAAAAGGATATTCATTCGATAAGAATTTCTAGGTTTTAGGCACCTACTCTAGCCTCTAGCTGCCAAAACTAATTTTGAATTGCTATGATTACATGGCAATCAATTAATTAGAATTAATAATAATTCAATCTTTAAGCAAACATCATATATTCAAAGTTTGAAAAAAATCAAACTTATTAATTAAAAGAAAAAACTCTTAATACTTTCAAGTGTAGATTGTCTTTTTTCTTCAACTTGAATCTTGATCTTTTAATAGTGATTATATCTTGTTAAACTGTTAAATTTTTTTTTAAATTGATAAAAATATAGATAGTTAAGTCTATAACACTTTTGTAACATTTTTCTTTAATTAAACTAGCAGATTAATTATGATAATAGAAAATCTCATTAGCTCTAAAATTCAAAAATCTTAGACTCAAATCCAATGAAACTCTTATATTCTTTAATCTAATCATTAAATTGATTTCAAATTTTCAAAATAAATTTAAAGAAACCACATTAACAAGCCTATAAACTTTTATCCATAGATCTATCATAATGCTTATAAATTCTTCATAAAAATAAGTCTCTTTTTATTTCTTAAAATCCAAAATCACTAAATACATATTTTACTTTTAAAACCTTTCAAAACCTCAATAGGAATTCGAATCATTTTAAATGAATGCTTAAACAAACTTCTTAAAGTTTTTTTCGTAATCTTATTCTTTAATCAAAAAAAGAATCTCAAAATCACCTAAGATATGCAATTTTGTGCATTGGAATTTGATTTTGATCCTAACTCACAATTATTCCTCTTTGAATATCAATTCTTGGATTTTTAAAATAATTTTTATTAAAATCTATACTTAATCTTTTTTTAAATTAATTTATTATTTATCTTTTTAATCTACTATTTTTGCGTTATTAATATTCAAATAAAGTAAGTAGAAGCTTTTTTCACAAAAACGTAGTATAACAACTAAATATGTTTACTAACTCTCTATCTTTTATTTATATTTTGTTATTATATTTTTTAAATAAGTTCTTCTATAATAGAATCCATATTTTTTTTCTTTCACCATATAATTGTATTACAATACAATAATAAGAGTAATATTTGAGATGTATCATCATTTACTATTAATAGAATTTATCTATAATAACACAATATATTCTTTTTTTCAGCAATGAATTTTTTACATTAATTGTGGTTATTATCTTTAATTTGATACTTTTAACTTTTCAAAAGTTGATAAACTTAAGGCAAAATTCTTAATAAATTATTTATTAGAGCTATATACAACAATGAAGGTACAATCAAAAAAAGATCAAGAATAAAAAAGATTAACATAGATATCCATTTTAAAAAAGAACCTGAATTTTATTTTAGAAATAAGATATGGTTATTTATTGTAATATCAAGACTATTTCCTCTTGTAACAAGTTGGATTATTATAGACTATGACCATTTTTTATTCATGAATAAGTCAATCCAAATGCATATTGATTATACTTAGTGTAGTCTACAGAGATCCACCTTGTACTTGATATGTCTCTTTTTGACCCATAGAAGACAATGATTATATCAAAAAATATATATATATATATATATATATATATATATATCAATTCTTTTTATAAAAATAGATAATAATCAAGAATTTGAAGCAGAAGAAGTCTTAGACTCAAAGCAAGACCAACATACGTTAGAATGTCTTATATATTAGTGCAGATATGATATTATTGAACATACATAGAAGCCATCTAAGAATGCTATAAATGCAACAAACATGGTTAATGTTTTTTATTGACAACATCCATCAAAATCAAAATAAAGAACCAAAAAATAAAATAATATAAAAAAATTCAATAAAGATTATATTTTATCTTTTATCTTTGTGGTTTTTATATATTTATATTATTAAAAAAATAAAAAATCAACAATTAGAAAATTTTATTCAGAAGCTATTATTTGTTGAATTATTGAACAAGGCATTGAAATTGTCACAACCTTCAAGATGACGTAATAAAAATAAAGACCTTCAAGAATAACATTTTTTTTTTAATAGATGGCAAGATACAATGTATTTGGTATTACAACCTTAAAAGAGACTCTTAATGTTTTGTAATATTAATAGGCATAAAAACCATTCTTAATTGGGTTTCTAACCTTATAAGTTAGACATGTATCTTACAAGTTGAACACATGTTGGAGGTCCTATAAAACATTGCCATAGAGTTCTTATTTAAATAGTAAATATAGATATAAGAATAAAATCTTCTTTATTTTTGACAACACCTTTTTTACTTTTTATCTTATTTCAAAAGTGTTTAATCTTCTTATCTTTTGTAGTAGCCATTCTAATTCTAATATTATGTTATTTTAAAATAAATATCTATTCTTTTTTGGTGACACAAGAATGTATTGACTTTTTGGTTGTTTGTGATTCATATTCTTAATAATAATTGAATAGTAACTTTGTTTTTGTTATAAAATATAATATGTCTATATTTGAATTACTATTGTGTATGTCAAAAAAATTGCATCAATTTTTCATAGCTTAATTGAACCAATTGGATCCAATGTGATATTTTTTACTATATAGATATTTTGGCCAAAGTTCAAGTATGCATTTAAATATATCTCAAGATGTTATTATAGTCATAATTTTTATTAAGTGTGGATTTGATTATATTTGGAATAATAGCAATATCCTATAAACCATATAACACTTGTTTAATTTATAAGACACATACTTGACTTATAGGACATTTATCAAAATCAGTACAACATCAAGAAAAATATGTATTTAAATATCTTCAACAAAATTCTTGACATATAATTAAGAATAAGTACAATTATGCATCCAAATTCTTAATTTTGTATATCATAAAACACAATATCTACACCTAACATACAATACCATCTAAAAAGAGACTTACTTGTCAATTTGCTAGCTAGATATAGTGTCAAAATTTAGGAGGAATTTTGTAAAACGTGGTTATAGTGCAATTATCCCAAAGCGCTGCTCCCATCGGACACTTGATGATGCATGCAAGAATCCCACCCACACCCTCCACAACCTTCTCCACTTGATGATTAGCAATGGATTTGACATTCTGCCTCTAATTATTGGATGCCACTATTCCTCACATGTCGATAGCATGAGCAAGGTGGTTCACGAAATCTCATACTAAAACATCCTGCACATCATGACGATAATGTATAGATGGCTACACTTTGTTTCACTTGAGAAAGTGATAGAGAAGTATCAATAGAGAAGTACCGATCACTTTCCACTAATATTATCTAACATGATCACCAAGTACACTTTATGTTCCGATGCAGAAATAAAACTACGACAAAATTGAGGTGTCGGACATGTCGATGCCGTGTGCACAAGTTAACCGGTGTCAAAGCTTAAAGACTCATCCGACACAATTTTGACTAAAGTTGTATTAAGAGGAGAAATGAAAAGGAAATCTAACACATGGTCCAAATCCACATAGTACTGCACATTGAAAGGTTTTTTTTAAAATCACTTATGGTACCGAGATGGCATCGTCTCCAAGAGAAGGCCTTGCAGGGAAGTTGTGCATCAAAAATGAGCCAAGAGACCAAAGACACAATATACCTAACATTTGCACAACAGATAAGATGCTCTGAAGCGAGCCATTTATCGCCAAAGTTTCCGGGGTTGCCTCCACTGCCTTCAATGAGAATAGCAGCCCTGCCACCAGCTGTGCTGCACGGTTGAGTTGGTGTAGCCTATAAACCTGAAGCACAATACAAGTTAGACATCTACAACCCCTGGCATTGCCTACATTGCTTTTGTTGAATAGTTATATTGATTGCCACCGGTCTTCCTGAGGGTTTTTAAAGGGAATGCAGGATTACGATCTGCTTCTCCGTGCTTGTAGGCTAAATAGAGACTACTGCTTAATGAACAAAACAGCAACACATGACCCAAGACGTGAAAAGGACATGATTTTCAGACCATTCGTGAGGGACCTTCTGCAATGATTGTTTGTAAGAAATGCAAATACTTAGATCGCTGTAATCAAATACACCTCCATTTCAGAACAGATGAAGGAAGAGGCTGCAAATTTCTACATACCTGAAACGTAACTGGGACCAGTGTCCACACAGGAGATTTTCTGGCAATGACGAACTTTTCGAAACCCAATTGAACACCCAACCCTAAAAGGTACGGCAGCAAAGCAGCTGCTGCTGCTGGGCCAGTCCATGGCCATACCACTCCAAAGCTGATAGCTGGTAGCACCACTCCTAGTGCAACAGATATTATCATTGATACTCGGTAGCCTACAGGGGGTCTGCTAGAAGTCGAGTGACTCCCTCCATAAGCTTTTGCCGATGAGGATGCTTGCAAGAGCTGCTGCTTGTGAGAGATGTAAAGAAAAAGTGACACTCCCACGTAGAATAATGCCTCCGTGCAAAAAAGGATCACGAAATCTAGAGGTCATAAACATGAATGAATGAAACATCAGGCTTCAGGTCTTTCATAAACAGTGAAAACAAAAATACACTTCTAAAAGGGGTTTCATAATACACGTACGAAACCTTTGAAAACTAGAAGCTCCATAATTTGGTCGCTTATATTGTTAATAAACAAATCAACAATCTTGACAAATACGTCCGAGTCTGCCTAAATCAGCAATTGCAAGGAAAGCTGCAAGTGTGTAAAGTAAGGAAAGTGACGTTTACCTGTAAGTAGAGAGTCTTCCAAAATGCTCTCAAAAACCCTTCGAAGATATAAAGGAGGGCCTACGACAGAAAAAACCAAGGCCAGTGGGCCAAACAACCAAAGAAGGGAGCCCCTTTGTGAAGGCTTCAGTTCCTGGTATTCTGTGCTTTCTGGTTGCTCTTTTCCTGATCCCGCACTGCAAAATGAAACAAAACCTGGTTTGCCACCATACTGGGCTCCAGGAACCTCGCCTGAAACACTAAGTGAGTCTTCAACAATCAAGCTGGAAGAGTCTCGTCTCGACTGATCGTCATCATCGTCAGAATTTAGAGGCCTATCATCTGTTGAATCATCAGATCCTGAAGCATGCGGAAAAATTAAACCTCGTTTTGACTTTAAATACAATCCTCTAGACAAGGATGTGCTGGAATAGGATTGCGATTGCTGTTGCAGGCTTCTAGAACGCAGTTGCGAAATAGTCCTTGAAAACGTAGTGCATACTAAGCTCTGAAAGGATACTCCTGCCCGTAAAGGAAAGGTTTTGAAGTAGTCATTCCCTTGCAGACCTGCAGGCAGGTTCTTGTTAGAGCATACTAAATTGACCATTAAACCATATTTCTGGAGCTGCCATCTCTCCCATGAATCACCGACAACCAGAACCATCATTTCTAAGTTCCCTTTACAATAAAATTATTCTCTAAGAGAAATCTGGGATGACGCCGGAAAGTAGGGTTCATCCAAAACATTCAGGTTCCATCTAAAGTAAGAAGCCATCATTCAATGGTCAATTTCAACCTCGAGCACGTCAAATCTCATGTGCTTGTTCTGAATTAATTTCAATTGTCAATCATATATGCTTGTTCGCACGAGAATCGATATGCGTTGTCAGTCTTCAATATCATCCACATTGGTAACCGTATCACTTTACCCACTAATGAATATCAATAGCGTATCTGCTGAAGGACACATCGATTAACCATATAAAAAGGCGATTAGATATAACAGTAGCAAAATAATTGAGATGATCTCGTGATAATGTAATTTTGATATGATTCAGTCTGCAATTAAAACGGGAATTATAAAGACATACCTCTGCATAAACGTCCCTTGACTCCAGTCGTTTGTGACGTGCGGCAGTAGGGATTGCATACACCTAATCCTTCGCCAGTAAGGTTTGAAAACCTAGTTAAATTCATTGTGGCCAACCCTGTAGTGGCAAACAATGGCACGGTAGTATCAAAGCGCTTTTAAAATGCCGTCAACCCTCATGAATCTCAAGACTTCTCAGTAACACATAATCGACCTCCAGAACCTGGAAAACCTGCACAAGCACAAAATGCGCCAGATAAAATGCTAACATCTTGAACAGAGGAAGGAAGCCCTACTGTATGGAGAGGAGAAAGTAGAAGCAATAAATAACAACAATAATAATAGTAATCACATATAGCGAGACAATACTGCCGCCCATCTCTACACCCACGATAAAAAATGACGTTGCAACACTCAGACGCCAATGCCTCAGATAAGCCGTAACATGCTATAATTCATGAAAACTAAACAGACTCCTATTACAGAAGAAGGGGGAGAAAATAAACGAATAAATATCATGGACACCCACAAACCAAGTAAACCATTCACAATTCAGTTCTGTTTCAAAATTACATACAAGCACTGCAAGTAAAATTTGCAACAAGTACTGAAAAATAAAGAGAATCATGAAAAACAGAATGTAAATCATGCACACCACGACCACTAACCAAACCCAACTCTCTGTCAGTTTCCCAAACTCTAACATCACACCAATTCCACTTCTCAAAACTCACAGAAAATTGGAAAATTCAACCACGTACAATTTCTGTGCCCCTCATAAACCTCAACCAAGAACATCAAACACCGTAATGTGAAGCTAGACCCGAACCCAGCACGCTCACAACAAGTTGTCGCCACTTACCAACAACTCACTAGGCAGCAACAGAACGCATTAGAGGAGCACCAAGCACAGAAATCGATCTGCTGGGCCTCGCAGTAACGCAAAACTGAACCCCGAAAACCCTAAAAACAGGAATTGGACGTGGTGGAATACGCCAAACTCCACCCAGCGGAAGATTGATGTGCATGACGTTCACTCCGACTTGTGTCCCAGTGCGCCATCGAAAGCAGCCAGTCATTTCGGAAAGTTGATACCCTTATTAATACTCTCTGATGATACACAGGGAGATATTTGCAGAGGCCTTGCTTTGTGCCCTCGGGTATCACCACGGTTTTCGTCAATACGGATGCACTGAAACACCTGAAACTTTGCTGACCTCGGTATTTTGGGTCGTAAGCAATGAGTGACTGATACTGTTACCAATATTTTTTCAATGAAAGGGGATGAAAATAAATTACTCCATAGGTTGTTTTGCTTGTTCAACTCAACACAAGTGTTTTATTTCGAAATCTTTCTTTCAGAATTTGTCCTAAATGTATTTATTACCTTTATTTTTTAATTATATTATCATATTCTTTCAAATTTGATAAATTTAATTTTTGGTATTGTTCTTTAATCATCAATAAATGTGTATATTTAGATATGTACATCGTATCTTTTGGGAGTTTAGTAGTGTTTTAAAATAAGATAAGTTTCTCAAATCCACTGTCATACCTCTACATAGTTTTGAAAGTTTTTACATTTATTTATGATGATAACTCTACTTTATCATGTAATTTAGAATTTCAAGTTGTTTAAAATGAGTTTTAAAAAGAGTCCTAACTTCTAAGAATTTTTCCAACTAAATTGTAAGTATGTTAGTTAGATGTTCCATAATCGTGGATTTTTCTTCTACTAAGAGAATATTATTTTAAAATGTATTTAAAATAGATGCATAACTTATTAGCTTAATGTGCAAAAAAAATATTCAATATCTTGAGGGATCTCATATTTTGATTTAAGAGAATTTATAACAAAGCTACTAAAGTTGATTAGATAATATTCTTAGATGTTTTTGAAGCCACCTTATAGAAGTTGTATCATTTCTTTAGAAAAGTTAAGGTCTAGACAAAACATAGGCAATTAAGCCACAATAAAGTAGAGTTTTTGGTAACTTTGTGCATGAGTAGAATTTGCACTATGATTTTTATTTGTATTTAAAAACTAACTTACAATATTTTCTAGCTGTAAAACAAAAAGTAATTGCTCAAAATGGAGAATCATAACGTAAATTTCAGTACAAAATTTATACCAATATTATACATGAAAAAATTAATAAGTTTAAATACATATATACAAAAATATAACATGAAATAAGTAAATTTTGTATAAATTTTTACAGTATTTTTCAAAGTATTTTGTATCATGTGCATTGGTAGGAGGTTAAGATGAGAATGTGCTTTAAAATATTTTCTAGTGGATTTAACATAGACAAACTACAAGGAAATAAAAGTAAGAACCATTGATATTATTCTTAACCTTTCAGTAGGTATCTTTCAATTGTAAAAGAATTGAATTTTTTTAAATATATATATATATATATATATATATCTTAATTCTAGATTGGAGGTTGCAGATTTTAAATCATCACTCTCCCATACTCTCTATTTTGAACACCTGAGTAAAATGTCAGTTCCTGCTTTCCCCCAAGGATGTGGCGTTCTCCAGGAAAGTATACATGAATTGTTCTCCTTGATGAAACACATAAATAGTCCTTTGAAACACTTCGTAAGCTGGAACTTTTGATTCGAAAAGCCCATATACAGTCATTTATTTCACACTCATCAAGCTCTTGCCACCACATCACGCACTGAATCTCCGCAGCAAAACATTACAACCATTTTATGTAAGCATTCATTTTAGATTGAATTAACATGTTATTACACTTCGACGACAACCTTGAAACTCCTCACACTTAAGTATTGGTTTCTTTCTTTCTTTCAATCAATGTTTGACGTAAGATGGAGGGCGTTAGACAATTTTTTTGCACTTATACAAGAGAGCTGTTGTGGCCAAATTCCAGGCAGTGACACCGACACCGAAATCTCGATCTGATACAATGTAAGTGCTAGTCACTGGGATCACAGAGGGAGGAGAATCTGAACCGTGAAAAGCAAACATTGAATCAGCATTACGAACAGGCAGTTGATCCGTTTAGTACAAATGAAGCCTAATGAACCCAACTTTCCACACTCTACCTGAGGTCTAAACGATGTTCAGAAGCAGCTCCACAATCTGTGAACCATAAGTGGATTCAATTCTACTTTCAGCAACAGCGTCCAGATTATTGTGAACGTAACTTTTGATGGTTTCTGAAATACAATCTTATACAGTACTTGGTTCCGCCTTTGCAGGTTGACATCTTGCAAAGAATTTCCATATCGTACACTTGTGATAGCGATATCGTCACCTGGAGCATGTTTGAGCATGCGACCTTCGTCATAGATGAAAGTCAATGAGCAAGTAGAGTATTTGCTTACTGGTGTACTCAGTGCGGAGCTCTCATGACACGATGATTGCAACCTCCGTCCAAGAGAAAAGGCAGCGTCCTTGAGCAGCCTCTACTTCTCCACCAATCATTAATCATTACTTGAACTTTTCTTGCGACTTCATCAGGAAGCAAAGTGAAACCTAACCTCCGAGAATTCGCGAGGGAGCACACTGCCGTCGGTGAAGATTGTTGCTTAAAAGTTCTATACAGTCTTCGTCTAGATCTCGAGGTTCACAACTGGCTGCAGCTACCAGAATGCCAAGTTTTCGCCAGAGATCCCTGAGAAGAATGCTGATCATTGAGGATCTCCTTCTACATGTTACTACATACAAATAAACGAAGAGCGATTCTTGCTACTACGTCTTAAAAGATTTCAAATCAAAATTCGACTTGACACCCTGAACACAGTCACTGAAATTCAAATACATCCACGCATGCACGACAATCAACAAAGTAATCCAATTTCCATAACACATACAGCAAATGCTAAACCGCGATATTAGGATCAGTTTGACGCAGATGCACAACCATGCTCTCTCTCCCTTTCGTTTGCTCTCTAATGCTTAAGGATCATAATGAGGTTCTTTTAATACTCACAAAAGTATGTGTGAGAATGGGCATACCTGAAGGAAAACTGCCTGAGGAGTTGGTGAGACGACCAATCAAAGACTCCTAGAATGGCTGGCTTTGTCAAGAATAGTTTCAGCTCTCTTCAAACAATCACGTAAATCCTCTTCTAAATCCTCGCAGCCTCCATTGCCGTTAACAATGCATTCCCAAAGAGGTCCATAGTCACATCGGGACGTGACCTCATGGTGCTGCTTGTTGAAATTAGAATAAGGGTTTGAGGGAAGTTCGGATGATAATGGCGAGTCAGGAAGGGGAGTGGACGGATGCGAAGGCTGTGACGATGGGTGCGGTTTGTGGGGGATCCCGTAATGGACATAAGCAAGAGAGAGACCAGCTGAAACTAATGTAGACCCAACTGCCACCATAAATGACGCTCGCATCCTGTCCATATTTGCTTTGATATATAGGTCGATATCGGACAAAATAACAGAATCTTTATCCTAGATAAGATAAGTTTGAAAGGTTTGGAAAAAGGAAGAGAAAGGAATAGAGCTCTGAATCTCGACACAGTTCGTAGCAAACGTTTGGTCAGAACGAGCACCTCAAGAACATCCACAATATGCGGAGACAATCCAGAAGGGGCCTTTACGTCTGAAGATTCCACAACAAGCTCCAAAGAAAAGCACCACGACCACTGGGATTGAGCCGGCTTCTGCACAACCAGACACGCTAACTAAGACGAGTCTTTATCACAAGCTCCAGAGACCAAGAATCGATAACCACTTAATATCTTTGGAGTTTCTTACAAAATCGACAAAGATCGTAGGTATCAGTCCATCTTCTTCAGTTAAAGCTACAGTCGGCTTCTATTCGACAAAAACCAAAATCATTAGGTCCAAGCAACGAAGTAATCTCCTTCACTGCCTACACACAAGCAAGAACCGATCAGATTGCCGAACTCTACATGGATCATAACTCGTCAATGTCACTTTAAGGAAACCTGCCATACTGTACAAGATGGAAGCAGTGTACGGAGGGTACTCAAAGGACATAACGCGAATCAGCGCGCAGACTCCAACCAATTTCCCCCGACGACAGCAGAGATTTCGACACAACGCGAGACCCTAATGGCCTTCAAAGGGGCGAGAATGTTAAGAGTGCCTTGTCGAGGAACGCAAGGCTCCGCAGCAAACGGACTTTGCACCACGTGTGGACTATCCCACAAAAGTTTAGGTTTTCTATTTATATTTAGAATCTTGAGCTGTGATTCCATAGAGATATTCCAGCAATCGAGAATGCAAGATATGGAGACCTAACACCACAAAGGCAAGACGACTTCGTCATTCTCGTCCACAGCCCAACGTCAAAGTTGGATTCATCGCAGTTTTGCATGATGACGTACCTCAAGAATTGAACGCATTTGCGTATCTGGAAACTCATCTCTGCAAATTCCCATTCGGTGAGGCTCTACACAACCATGCACAAAATTTCACCTAAATGTGTGGAGTAAATCTTCAGCACCTTTGCACCAGACGTGTAGCGAATCGTTGAGTTTCACGCGAATTACGAACGGATTAAAATACCCCAAACGCTAAAGCTTCTAAGGTTCATGGTGTGGACCGATCAACGCAATGTGGTGGGAAAGAATGCCTAAGCCGACGTCCTGTCCACCGACTCAAACACGAGATCAACCCCATTGAGGGCAATCTTTACAGGGGACAAACACTGGCCAACGGATCACCACAGCACCGACATTCACAATCAAGAGACATCCGCAGGAAAACCGTGTTGGTCATAAACACATGTCGTATATTCCCGAACTCTATGTCAGCACTTCATGGTTCTCCTCACCAAATCAATCTACACTCGAAAATGAGCTAGAGAGCAAACACTACTTCGACTACATTGGAAATAGGAATTCCACCTTTGCTGCTAATCCATAAAAAATCCATCATGTAGTTCAAACAAATGGAGAGACGAACATTCACATTTCAATAGATGCCACACTTTGGTGAAAAAATGTAGGAGACGATTCAGTTTTCAGCTTGATCAGCCAGTTTGCTATTGTACATGGATTTGTTGTAATTCTCAGATGTCACTAACATGTGGAGGCAAGAAAAAATTCGGGGGAACCTCATGGAAATGGCACATGTAGACTGCCACCTCTTGATTTTGAGCTCTCTCGCAAACCACTCTGCCCGAGGCATTTTTCCGAGATGCTACGTAACTCCATCTCCGATTGACTCATGTGGCGACCAGATACTCGACCATCAAACATATCCACAATGAAGATCTCTCCATTCATGCTGTGGACGTCAGGTTCGAAACTATGCGATGTGCTGTAAATAGGGGCGACTCTAACAGGTGAGGAAGCCACAGATCTCGGCGACTTCAACGATGCGGGGATTTTCTCTGCAGTGGAAGGTGCTGAAACAGATGCAACAAGCTTCTCAACTTCTAATGAATTAAGATAATTGCAAGCAGCCATAAAATTAGTGACGTGGTAAGCAAGCTCTCCGCTTTGTTCGTTCTCCGCTTGCAGAGAGAGAAAATTGTCCATGTAGCAAGCGTTGGCTTGCAGATTCTTCACCCGAGACCGAGCCATGAGAAGCAACATGAAGGAGAGCAGGTCATCTGTGCAGGGAAGCAAACCATCCTTCTCGGCTGTCGTGCCGCTGCAGGAAGATATTACAGTCTGAATACCTTCAATTATACAATTGATAGTCTTCTGGAGGCAAATAGCCTTTTCCAAAGGCGTGCGGCCCCTGTTAATCATCCTAAACTGCAATAGTGCCTCCCCAAGCACGAAATCCTTAAACTCAGACCGAACGCCGAGAACAATTGGGTCTACCTTATCTAGTCGAGCGAGATTGTAGTCCAAAATTTTGTCACTCTGACCAAACATGAGCTTACATGCGCCCAGGACTTTCTCATACACGGAACCCAGCACCCATGTCTCGCAAGCACTCCGAAGTTGGCTCATGTTCTCTTCGTTGCCAATGCAATAAGATTCGAGCCTCGGGTTGCTGGCCAGAGTCTGATCAACCAAAGACTTCGCAATTTGTCGCAAAGTTTCCTTACACGCCGCAATTCGGAATTCATTAGATAAAGAGGAGTCTTCTATTTGATACGAACTTTTGAAATGGTCGACCATTCGGGCCGCATGCCTTAGGGCACGGGTGTTCAACCCACTCGACTGCAGAAAGTCCGTGCATCCTTGAAATGTATCCAAGCCCGACCACAAATCCTTTGCGACTGCGAGTGGCTCCTGTCTACCCGCCCCTTTCCCAGGCTTCTCTCCCTTCAATTTCTTCGGGCAGTACGCCTCCCATTTCAACTGGGACAGAAGCCGCAGCTGGATCCGTGCCTTCACTCCCGACACCCCAGTTGCCCCATGCTGGCTCTCAGACTTGGATTTCGTTGAAGATTTCCGCCTTCTAAATGAAAACTTCATCTTCAAGTTCTCCACCACATTCAATGGCACTCTCCCTACTCACTCACGCAAAGCTTACAAACAATATCAAATCACTCAAACCTAAAACATGGGCTATTTCGACTTCCTCATTGAGCGCCCACAAACTTCATCATTATTTCTGACGACTGCATGCACCCACCTTGCACGACTGCCTCCTAATCGCCCCACACATCACCCATGCCCTCGCAATCGGCGTAAACATGCGCATTAGCGACACAGACAGTAATCCAGAATCAACCGTGGAAGATCACAACTAATCACACCTACCCTTGTCCAACCTCTGAGAATCGCTGCACACCAAGTCCGCTAACACAAGCACACGAAAGTCCCCCAATCCAATGAAGCACCCAAAAATCATCTGAGATCGTCTAAAACCTCAAAGAGCTAATCAAAGACTTGGAAACAGAGCCACTAGCCGCAGTCGCTGACCACAATTCCAACAGCAACCACAAACAAAATACTGACCCCTCCTCACCAAAATCACCATTCACTTCCTTAATTTCAGAGCAATTAAGCCCCAAGGACTACAACCCCAAAACCCAGATTCACTTGCTACACATATTCCAGACAAACTCACGATTCCATTCCGAAACAACTCCAGGGCCAACAAAATACATCGGGGTGAGCCTATGATATATCTCAACGACTAGAAGCGATCGCCTCGGAGACAGCCTATCAAGGTAAAGATATATAATGTAATGTAATACGAGATCCAGGTGACCCAGACAGGTGGGTTGAGGGGCGAGCTATTCCGAGAGACGATGGGATCACAGATCGTCATCTTCTACTATTACAGTCTTCTGCGACCCGGGATTGTTCCAGAGAAGAGAGCTCGAAACGGACACGGTGCGCTTTCGGCAGCTTTGATTGGCAATCTGGGGGCTTTTCCGGTCGATCGGCGGTAAAACTGAGTGCTCTCGAGGGAAAATACCCACCACGTCACACCACCATGCTCTTTTCCCAGAGAATCGTGAGAGAACTTTTGGAACAGTAATTCCACCATTGTGCGCTTTCATCTCCCGGCGCGATATTACCATAATCACTCCTCGTGCGCTTTCTGGTGGGATTAAATTGAATGACGCGTCCGCTTGTGGGATGAAAATTCCCTCATCACCCCTTTCCTGTGGCCGTGGCGGAATAAGTACCCAGCGGAACTTGTACCTGGTTCTGGACGATCAGAAATTCTAAATGGCTGCTCGCACCGGAACATTTCAATAAAACCCTTACCAATCTCTAATTGCTCATAAATAATTTGTTTTTGTTTTTTAAAAACCCCAAAAACTGGTTGCGCATCATTTAGCTGCTCACAAAATCTGACCTAGCCACCCGACATGTATGAGTGTACAAACGCATGAATGACGGACGGATGAAGAAGATCAGAACGCGAAGTGGATGACGTTTTCTGTGTAATCGCTTCTCGCATGTGTCGATTTTTTGATATTATTCTCGGGAATGATCCGATCACCCCCTTTGTGCCTTCGGCAACATGTTGAGAGATCTGGTTCTTGGCGTCCCTGATGATGAACCGATTGCGTCAATCCAATCCTACTGTGGCACGCAGATATTTTTAAGACGTGAGTAGCCATCGCGTCACTCGTCGAATGCGATCACGCATTCAGGGATTGCTCAACCGTCTTGCTGGTGGTGGCCATTCATTTAGCATATGTGGCCATTTAGTGTGGTCGGCGGCTGAATTCCGTGAGACAAACCCTAAAGCCAAAACTGATGCCTTTATCAAGCTCTTCAGCGTGCCCTACTCAGCATTCATCCACCGGTAAACCATTCGTTATTCGTTGGTTTACTCTTTTAATGTTCAGCAATCATTGACATCAGCATTCCGAACACAAACCATGGTTTGTGTGGTAGAAGTGTGCCCTCACTCGGATTAGGTCTCGTGTCCAATTTCGACTGTTCGCAGTTGTGATGTATCATTCTGATACCCTAGTATTTTCACTTGGGTTTATCGCTTTAGGGCTAGGATCGGGTTTGGCATCCGCGTCGAAGTAAGGGAATACAGTGATAGAATTTCAGATATGCTCAAAAAAATATATTGGGATGAACGTTCACAACGAGCATTTATCCTTACTTAGAGCCAGTTTGAGATAGTTTCGTTTGGGTTAATATTTAAGCCTATGATATTCACTACTCATTCTCTTAAGCCCTCAGCTTTTATTAACCTCAATACATCAGAGATTGATGCCAATCTTGAGGTCCATAGCATTCATTGACCTCTGCACACTTGCACTTCCTTGGCCACGCATTGAAATTAGCTTGTGACGATTTGAGTTGTGATCTTGGTTTTATTGGAATGCTTTTAACTGAGGAAATGTATAAAATTGGGAAGGACGCTGATGTGGCACTGCCCAACTTTTCCTTTTCCACGTATTTTGGGGCTGTAAAGTGTTGTAAAAAAACATCGGCAAGTACAACTAAGGGTCAATATTTTTCTTCCATAGGTTCATTTAAGGATGTTTTGAGATAAATTGTTTAAGCTTTAATTCAAAAGTTACTAAGAAATTATTATTTTAAAATTCGGTTTCCAAACTCAAAAACCAAAGATCTTTGCAAAGCTGTACTTTATATATACATACATACATATCAATGCTTTTAAGGTCAATCCAAAATCTATTTGCTTTCAAGAATGTGTATCCAATCCAACCCAATAGATGATATAAACCTTAATTGCAAAGATTGTTTGATACCTTCAAACAAAGTATAAATGTACTTACAAAAATAAATAAATAAATAAAACAAGGTGTATATATATATATATATATATATATATATGATTAGAAAATGGTAGAAAATGGTAGAAAATGGTAAATCTTTGTAATTATTTTTTTGTTTCTTTATTTTGTTCTAGAAATATAATCTGATATATATATATATATATATATATATACACTAGTAGAAATCCATGTTGTTAAGAATTGCAATATCTAGCACATCTATCTATTTCCCTATTTATCCATGCTCTCTTGTTCTTATGTTCTATGTGTTCTTCAAGTTTATCAAATTTCCTTCATTATGGCCAATTAGAGGACTTCTTTGTCTTGTTGTTTTATACCCAAGTTGTTTAATATATATTAAATGTGTATTCGATTTCTTTGCATGTATTCACAATCATTATAACAATGGAAAGAAAAAAAGAAAAAGAAAAATATAAATATATATATTTATATTTATTTATTTATTTATTGAGACAATAGTTGTGGATGCCATCTAACTAGTAATGTGATGCAATCTAACTAGTAACAATTTTGAATCACATGTATAAACATAACATAGGTATATATATATATATATATATATATATATATATAAGTTTTTTTTAATTAAAATTTGACATCAACCAACAAAATGTTTAACTTAATCTCTATATTTTAGAATCTTTAGGAACAATTTTTTAAAAACCAACTTTGTCAAGTGCTCTTGAGAGATTTAACTCAATTATGAGATTGTTGCTAGTGTAGCAAAATAAAACAAAGAATTTGAAATATAATTGAAGTATTATGTTTGACTTGCCTTCTTCAATTTTTTAGTTTTTAGATATTGTAATTTGTAGTACCAAAATTTTAAACTTTAAAATTAATTTAAATTCTTATAGACTTTTTTTTTGTAGTCAACATCAAAATTTAAAATTTGGATTTTGATGCATGTACTATATATATATATATATATATATATATACATGTATTATAAATTTCATAATTTGTATTCTTTAACTAATATTTTTTTCTTTGTTGATGATATTTGCTAAAATATAGGGTGTTTTTAGGATTCTAAACTTAAAATCTGGTTTTTTACATAATCAATATTGTTTATATTTTTAGCAATAAATCAGATGAAAAAATTTATAACTTAAGTGTTGATTCCAACAACAAATAAATGAATGTGGGTCGGACAAGAATATAGATAATTTGTTCGTGTATTACGAATAGTTTATCAACATAATTCAATCAATGAGGAGGAGAAGAAGGAACCTGACACAAGGTGACCACATTTCAGCAAGAAAGTAACTAAATATGCACTGCACAATGCTCATTGGGCAGCCAGTGTTAGCAACTGCTGACCTTTAGCCTCACGTTTCTCAAATTCTTTCATCGCAACACGTCTTGGTGTCTAAATCTTTGCGGTTCTTCATGCATTGCCGACATGAATTTTATGATAGTATACCCGTATTTTGTGGTTTGTGATGGCAGTGTGTCCCCGGAACAGTCATGAAGGAGTGTCCTCACACATTCAAATCAGGCAATCCCATCTCTTTGGTAGAGCCAAGCGGAAACAAATGGAAAGTCATAGCAGAGGTGAGTTCTGTTTTCTCATCACCATCGCCTTTGCGAAGGCGATCAGCTTCACTTCACCCTCAAAAGACCCTCGCACTTCGTTGTGGATATGATGGACAGCAATGGCGACGAGAAAAGAAGTGCTTGAAAAGCAACAATCGATGAGAAGTATGTAGTTGCTCCCGTCGGCTTCACTTTCAGTGCACCCATGATGGATGAGCATTTCAGAAAACGGAAGGGGAGAGACATTGTCCAAGTCTCATGACATGCCAACCATTGCGGACCTAAGTGAATTTAAGCGCATAGACGGGAGGAGAGGAAGCAACAACCACAACAATCCATCGGATGAGAAGCCGAGATTCTCGGACAGAACAAAGCAGTGGATGTGCAATGAAACAAGGAACAGACGAGAGGTGGTTACAATCTTTAACATCACAAAAACACAAAACAGAACTGTTGGGTGTTAACAACAACACCGCGAGCGCCTCAGAGAGTTTTGAACGCTCACCCCTAAAATAAAACCTCAAAAGATACGCAGCTCAATTGATTCAATACAAGGAGGTGAGAGAGACAGCGTGCATCCACTGAAGCAGGGTTAGATAAGCCGTGAACGAGAAGGCGATCTTGACAATCTAAGAGTGGAGTATAAGCCACATCTCACGAAACTCGAAGCTCGGGGACATGAGGAATAATGCATTTCACAGTTGAAGTGCGCTCCTGTAGCGTGCGAAAATAGTGTAGTGCCTTCGAATAATGTTAAGGAAAAGGGGATTTATCATACAAGGTCAGTGTCATGCAAACCATAAAATACCCAACAGACAAAAACCGAACAACCACCGAACACTTCACACTTAACAGATAGTGCGACTTCACTCGCCCTACACAAAGCAGTGTTAACCGAAATGAGCTCGAGCACCGTACATTGCCCACGTGCTCCTAAATTGCAAAAAATGCTCATTTATGCGTTACAAAAATGAATGATCCCACTTAAATTATAAAACTTTACATAAATTATCAAATTTCTGTCCAATGAGCTTATAAATTAAGCAGTGTACCTCTGTGTGTATATATATATATATCTATATATAAATACATATGACTTATATGTAGTACTCTTTCATTTATTGTTCCATGTTAGTTGTATTAATATATAGAAAGTTGGAAGAAACTCTTGAAAAATCTTAAATAGTATTTTGTGAATTACGATTAAAAAATTACCATCATATAGAAATTATGGAATTATTAAATTTACAATAATTCAAATTATTCTTAAAATGCATATACAAAATCTTAAATAGTATTTTGTGAATTACGATTAAAAAATTACCATCATATAGAAATTATGGAATTATTAAATTTACAATAATTCAAATTATTCTTAAAATGCATACGCAAAAGAACATTTAAAATGATGAATTCTGAAAACCAAGTTTAATTTTGTGAAATTAAGATTAATAGTTTAATAAACATCTATTTGATATTGAAATTAATTTCACATCACTATTTCCACAATAAATTAAATGCAATTAGTTTTTATAATACAAGACAAAGTTTTAATTTATATTCTTTCATGTGCTAGATGCAAATCATAATCTTTTTTTAATAATGTATGGCAAAGTTTAAAGATATGCACAAAGTTCTTCATTCATTGAATATTTAAGAAATAACTTTTGTAAGACATTTGTAAGTCTAATAAAAAAAAATATATTTAAAAAAATAGTTGTAACCAATTTATATATAGTATATTTTTTAAG